GTGGAGCAGTGGAGGTCCAGATGCCATCTCTGGGCATACCGCTCTTCTAGCACCTTGATGTGTTCACTAATCCAGAAGCTCTCTAGGTCTCATTATTCAAGAGTTTTCATAGAGCTCAATCTCCAACTCCCCATCCCCTTCCTAGAGGTTGGTGGATAGCTGGATGTCCCAATCCTGTCCTCCCCTGGTCTTTCTAGTGACAGCCCCATTCTGAGGCTATCTAGGGGCCCCACCCTAAGTCACCTCATTAGCATAAACAATAAGAGACAAAGGGACTCTAAAACACGTAAGCTGGTATTCCAGCTCCCTAGTAGGCTAAGGTAGGAAGATCACTTGAGTCCAGGAGTTCTAGGCCAGCCTGGGCAACATAGTGAATGAGAACTCCATCTCAAAAAACAAAACAAAATGAAAACCAAAACCAAAATACAGGAAATTCCAAGAGTTTTAGAATCTCTGTTAGGGACCAGGGTCCAAGACCAACTGTGTTTTATATTTTACCACAGAGACCCGTAACTCCCATTATCATCACTTGTCCTTTAAAGTGGGGGGGGCGAGGAACTGGGGATGTGGCTCAGTGGTAAAGCACTTACCTAACATAGTCAAGGCCCTGCATCCCAGCCCCAGCTCTGCAGGGGCATGGAGGGTGCAGTCTACAGGAGCCATTGGTTTGGACTGAGCTCCTGCACTAGGCCCAACTGACTACACGAAAATGGAGTTGCTCATGCTGAATGAAGTTCTACCAAGCAGAATTAAGCTGTCTTATCTGACCTTATTAGAAGTCAGGAGAGTGACAGATAACAGCCAAACCCCAGACAGGCCAGTTTTAGCTAGCATGATAAGGAAGTGCCTTCTGTCTTAACCTTTATAAGGAAAGTAACTTTGCCACCATTAGTCGCTTTTTCTTCCCTGTTTCTGTCCTCAGTCCTTTTTGGTCTATAAAACCAACTTCCTCTGCTCAGCTCATTGGACACTCATTTTACAGAGTCAAGTATTACCTGGCCCTAGAATCACAAACACCACATGAAAAAGAAAATTGAATCATTTTTAAAAAGCCAATTAAGGGCTGGTGGAGTGGCTCAAGTAGTAGAATGCCTGCCTAGCAAGCATGAGGCCCTGAGTTCAAATCCCAGTGTTGCCAAAGGGAAAAAACCTCCCTCAAATATTAGTTCCATTTTAAAAAGCCAATTAAGATCTTTAAACTAAATGTGTTTTAATTATGGCTTTTGACACTTTATTTTATCCCTGTTTCACAGATGAGAAAATGATGCCAAAAGTCACGATTAGTAAAAAGGAGGAGCAGAACTTGAATCCAGCTTCTAAGTCCACGCTCCCAGGCCCTGTGTCCAGTGTGGGAAATGTCCCATCATGTCGGAGAATGTGAGTAGATCCCACCTCACAGTGAGTCCGACTTCAGTAGAAACAGAGCGTATGACCCTTCCCTGCGGGAAAGTCTAAATTATATACAGGTCTTCATATGGGCAGGCTCTGATGACCAAAGAGAAGATCTTGAAGGCCCAGACATTACCTGGGTAGCTTCCCACAGGCCTGGTCCATCCTTTCTGGCTGAGGCATGAGCTTTCTGCCATGAACACTCAACGAGAGAGTTCCCACAGCACAGGAAACTTGGCACAATCCCTACAGGAAGGTACAGGACAGGGTAGAGGTCTGAGAGGGCTGCCCAATAGGACCATCCTTGGAGGGACATGGGAGAAGGGGGGGCACCCACTCTGTGCCTCCTCATGGTTCTGAGTGAATAGAACCCTGGAGAAATGTCACATTTTCATTATCAATCCATTTAGGGGCCATTATCTCATCCTCTCTTGAACTGAGTCATGTCAGGATCCTGCCTCTGAAAGGTAACAAGGCACAGAGGGGAATTAGAAAAGCCAAGCATTCAAAGGGAAGCACCCTGGGTGGGGCCTTCATATACTGCAAAAGAGGACAGGGCCTGGCACTGGAAAAATACGCTGTAGCCTCAGATAACTCTGAGAGTTTATGATCGTGTGTCTTCCTTCCCTCCCTCCCTCCTTCCTCACTCTTTCCTCTCTCCCTCCCTCCTTCCTTCCTTCCCTCCTTCTTTCCTTCCTTCCTTCCCTCCTTCTTTCCTTCCTTCCTTCCCTCCTTCTTTCCTTCCTTCCTTCCCTCCTTCTTTCCTTCCTTCCTTCCCTCCTTCTTTCCTTCCTTCCTTCCCTCCTTCTTTCCTTCCTTCCTTCCCTCCTTCTTTCCTTCCTTCCTTCCCTCCTTCTTTCCTTCCTTCCTGTACTGAGAATCAAGCTTTTTATTCACCCTCTTACTTTCTCCTGGCTTAGTAGTGAAGCTCCTTCGGAAAGTTTTGACCTTGCCTGACTCTGTTAAGGATTAAAAGAAAGGGGTCCTTGCTTTAATCAGCTATGCTATGTTTTGCAAGTGGACATCTTTAATGGTGTGGCTTAGAGGGAGCCAGGGAATCAAAGTGAGCAAACCCCAAGGGGATGTGGAACACTTAGAGGAATTGTCAATAGCTTTTCTCCTTCCAGGACCTTATAGAGAATGGCAGTTAAAAATTTGGACTCTGGGCTAAGATGTAGCTCAATGTTAATGCATTGCCTAGAATGTGTGAAGCCCTGGGTTCAATCCTAGCACTGCAAAATTAATTAAAATATAAAGAATATTTAATTGGTCAGGCTCCCTAGCCTAACTTTCTGAGGTCAGTGACTAAGTTTTAGTCATCCTTCTATCTCAAACAAATATAAAAAGGAGAATTTTTTAATTATATTCATTTTATTTTATTTAAGAGTCAGGGTCTCACAATATTGCCAGAGTTGGCCTGGAATTCCTGGGCACAAAGGACCCCACGTAGCTGAGACTTACAGGCATATGCCATTAACAGCCCAGCACTTTTTTTGGAGGGGGATAGGGTTGAACTCAGGGCACTTGCAATGCAGGCACTGTACCACTTGAGCCACACCTCCAGTTACTTTTAAACAAGATTTTGAAGTCAACTTATTCACTCCTCCCTACACCTGAGGATAGAAAGCAGCCTATGGGAAGGGCTTTGAATGGCTCAGAAGACACCTAAAAAGGAATCTGAAGGCAAGTCCCCACCCCTGGACTCCAGACTCTGACCCTGTCTATGACTTACAAAATGGGAAAGTAAATCAGACTGTACTACCAATAAATGTGGTGACCCTTGGGTCAGGTAAAGGTCTCCACCAGGCACCTCATTCCACCATGGGGAAGCCTCCCTTCAATGTCACATTAATGTCATCTGGCCTCTGTGTACCCTTAAAGAGTGTCTGGAACAAATCAAGTTCTTTTGCAGACTTTGCCTTCATTTAGCAAAAGGAAGTCAAGAGAAGCTGTGACACAGGCCTGAGGCCTGTCCTCCTCTTCTGGCTGAGTCTTCCTTGCCTGTGAGCAGGAGGCTGGGTGGGCAGCTGGAAGCTGGGTGGGCAGCCCCGCCTGTGGGCAGTGGCTGGCTCCTCTCGACCCTTTCCTGAGGAATGCAGTCTCGCCAGCCTGCCAGCGCTCCTGCTGCGAGAGCCCATTCCCCTTTTCCCTTCCTCCATTTGCAATCGCTATTTATTTATCTTTGGAAGTTCTAGGAACTAGAGCCTGCGATGGGAGGGACTCAGGGAGCCAGGGAGAGAAAGCGAAAAGGCGGGATTCTGCTGCCAGTAAGCCAGGGAGAGAAGTTGGTTCTCTGCAAAGGCCTGGGAGACTTGGCTGACAGGTGAAGCAGCATCAGAAAAGGAACTGACTCCCTAGAACAGGGTGGTAGTAGCCTTAGGGCCCTCTTTGGTGGCACAGTGAAGGATGGGGAGCAAGAGTGAGCCTCAATCCTGGCAGCAGGCCTTTTAGCAGCCTAGGCTCTGTTAAATGACAGAAAGGCCATCCTTTGTGGGAACCAGAGGAAGCAGACACCCTGGGCTTCAGTTTCTCCTTTCCCTCTGCCCCCAGTCCCCTTTCTAGCTTGTATTGCTGTCCATCTAACACCCACTTCTTTTTGGTTCTGGTTTTGTTTTTGTTTTGTTGAGACAGGGTCTCACTGAGTAGTACAGGCTGGCCTCTAACTCAGGGTCCTCCTGTTTCACCTTCCCAAGTGCTGGGATAAAAGGCCCGGAACAGGCTCTGTGAGCACTTTTCATCCTTTGTCACAGCTGTCAAGGTCAGGCCCTGCCCAAGGCTACCCCTCCCTCCTTCTCATGTCACAATTTACATTTATAAACTAAGGGGCCTCCATTTTGACTCCAAAGATTAGGTACCTCAAGATGTTATGGGTCATTTGTGATCAAAGTCAGACAGCTAATAAAAGGCAGAGCTGAGCCTAGAACGGGATGTCCTGACTCAATGTGCAGTGCTCTGCCCACACTCTGGCACAGGTCCCTGGTACCTCCTCTTCTCATTTTCCCTCCTTTCACTCACTGCTCCCCCCCCCACACACACACACAGAAACACACAGAGGAAAGGGAGGAGGTCAGATCTAGCAGAGCCTGCCTTGGCCTTTGACCTCTCCTTGGCCTACCAACACACATCCCCTGCCCCCTACTCCCACTGGACAAGGTCACTGCTTGCTGGGCGAGGTCGGCTGCCTCCTGGTCTCTGGCTTGTATTCTCCTGCGGTGACCTCCATCGGAGTTTGAGGACAGGGGCAGGGCTGTGAGAGTGAGAGACAACACGTTGTCGCCTAGACAGGCCTGTCGTGTCAGGGGCCAATGGAAACCTCAGATCGTGAGCAAAGTTCAACCCTAAACATGCAGCACAACCAGACATCTCAGGCCAAGTCCGCAGGTCAACCAAAGCCTCAGAAGCACGGGCGAGGGAGGGTTTTGTGGGAAGTGACGGTTGGGTTAGAATCCGAGCTGGGTGGTGGAGAGGGTAGCCGCCTGGCTGCGTGTCGGGAGGCGCTAGGGCCTTGCGGAGTGGCAAGGCGGCGCGGGGAGGCGGGCGGGGGCTGGCGGCGGCGGGAGCGGCGCGGCGCTGAGCTGCTCCCATCCATGGCACTGAGCGGCGGCGGCGGCAGCAGGAACCCGGCGCGATCCGCTAGGTCCCAGTCCCGCACCAAGCGAACCCGCGACGCGCCGGGGCCGGGCTGCCACCCGCCCGGAGCGCTGCGCTGAAAGTCCGGCCGCGCCGCCGGGGGACCGCCCGCGCTGCGCTGACAGCCGCGCCCGCGTCCTCCCCGGCGGGGCGCTCGCGGGACATGCCCCCGGGGCACGGCGGCGGGGACCCCAGGGCTCGCCTCCGCCCAGGGCCCCCCGCCCCGCCCTCGGGCGCCCTGGGCCCCCGCTGAGCAAGCCTCCCGCAAGCCCGGGTCCCTCCGGCCGGCGCGCAGTCCGGCCCCAGCGCTGTGGGTCCCCGCCGGGCGATGGGTTGATGGGCGCCGGGGGACGCAGGATGCGGGGGGCGCCCGCGCGCCTGCTGCTGCCGCTGCTGCAGTGCCTGCTACTCCTGGCGCCCGAAACTCGGGGCGCGCCCGGCTGCCCGGTCCCCATCCGCAGCTGCAAGTGCTCGGGGGAGCGACCCAAGGGACTAAGCGGCAGTGCCCCTAACCCGACTCGCAGGAGGGTAGTGTGCGGCGGCGGGGACCTCCCGGAGCCTCCCGATCCCGGCCTTCTGCCTAATGGCACCGTTACCCTGTGAGTACCCTACTTCGTACCTGGACGGTAGGACGAATGGAGGCGAGAGGGGAGAAATGGGAGAGGGAAAGGGGACGATTCTGCCACTTGGGTGATTGAAGACAGGCCTGAGTCCAGGCGTCCAGCAGGGAAGCCTGGATACATAGGAGAAAGACTGGGACTTCTGAAGCCCAGAAGGAGGAAGGGTCCTGGCGTGGGGAGGAGTGAGGGGGTGCGCCCCAGAGAGGCACCGCGGGTGCCCACTCACCTGCACAGGTGAAGCGGAATGCACGCTAGCGGGACGCCCGTGCTCCAGGTTTCAAGCCTGGGCTAGTGTTTCTCATTTTGGAGACCTGAGCGGGATGGGAGTGGGGCAGTCTCCTGAAAGATCGACGCCCGAGGCCCAGTAGGTGGTTGTGGTCCTCACCGCCGCGAACGCGTCGAGGTCCGCATTGAAAGAACCTCCTGGATTTACCCAGTGGTCCGGCTCCTCTAACTGGGTCACCCTATCCTCTCCCTGGGCCTGCCGGCTGCGCTCCCAGCCAGTCTCCCTAGGCCAGGCGGAAGGGCGAGCTCGGAAAAGCCGTACTTGGAATGCGGGCGCTGTGGGTATGAATGAGATCCCCGCGTCCGATTGCTCTTGGGTCCTATTCCCCTGTGCATGGCTGTGTAGGTCCTGCGTCCCTGCCTGTTGTTTCACTTCCCTGGAAATAACTCAAGCTTTGGCTGTTTCTCGTGGACTCCTTAGCGCAAAGGAAAATAAGGAAGAAAGAAACCCTGCTGAAGGGAGGCGCGTGCCTCCCGGCCTCCTTCAGTGGTTCGCATCTCAATCAGGGCCTCATCCAGCCCTTGCTTTGCTGGCCACAAGCGCGCCAGTGCCCAAGTCTCCTCCATGGGGTCCCAAATCCATGCACAACCACCACATTCTCGACCCCTCAGCGCCACAGCGATTTCCTGAGCTGACCACGTGCTCAGAGGTCCACTCAAGCTGTGGAGTTGAGGGTCGGGATCCTAGCAGAGACCACTTGCTTTCCTGTCCTAAAAGCGCTTCCCCTTCCCTGTCCTCCTGACCCGACTGGCAACTGCCTTCCCAGAGTTCGGGCTGGCTCCGTCCATTTGATTGTGTCCAGAAACAATACAGTAATGCCTCTGGTTGGGTGAGTTCAGAGGCTGCCTACTTCCTGACAGGACACAACTGGTCAGCCTGTGACGTTGGATGCCTGGCCTGCTTTTTCCCCAGCAGGGGTGTGAGTGAGTGTGCATGTGTGCCTTGGAGTGCCTTGGAGTAAAGGCAGGGTGTCTGCCCTCTCCCATCTCCTGCAGCTCAGGGATATGGCAGTAGCACCAGTAGCTCTGAGTGTCCACCATATTTAAGGGTCTCTCAGGCCTGAACATTCCCTCAGCCCACTCTGCTCTGGAGGAGAAAAAAAAATGCTTGTGATGTGGAATAATCAGGCTGGTGTTTGTGGAAGCTGCAGCTGTGCAAAGATAGTTCAGATCTGAGTGGGCTGTGCCACTGTGCTCAGTGGCTGTGTGCACACTCATACATGGGAGCTGTCTCCCTGTGTCTGGGTTGGAGAATCCTAGCATAGCAAAGGCAGAGGGAAGGGGAAACAGTAAGGTGGTTCTGTGGTACCTCTTAGAATGATTTGGTAACTAATGCTTTCCAGCCATAGCTAATTGTCATGGATGCCACTCCAAGATGAGAGTGGGGCCATCTCTTGGTGAGAATGAATATATTGTAACAGGGTGGCAAAAGACAACTCCTAGCTTACCTTCCCACTCTGAGCCCTCTTTAAAGGAAAGGCTCCTCTTTCCTCCCAAGCCACTGATCTCTCCTAGTTGGCTTAAGATATCTTCCAAAGGCACAGTCCCTCAGCCTGACTGGACATCCCCACTGGGACAATGGATAGTACAGGGCAGAGACACGGAAGCCTTGAGATCCTGCTGGCCCAACAAACCAAGGTGCAACTAAATTTTCAGCCAGACATATCCCTTTAGCTCCCCATATTTGTGATTCTGATGGTGGCCCCCAAGCTGGCCTGTGAAGGAAAAAGAACCCAGCAGAAGCGGGGTAAGCATTCCTTGGGGTTTACATTCAGTCCCAGCACATCCAAGGTACCCCAGGATGCATCTTGAGGGAAGAAGGAAGAGAAGGGTTGGGAAGGGACTGCTGCTTCCACCTGGCAGCCAAACAAAAGGCCAAGAGCATGGAAACCATCTCAATATAAATGGAGGGCCTTGCTGGGCGTGGTGGTGCAGGACTGCAATCCCAGCACTCAGGAAATTGAACTAGGAGTGAGAGTTCCAGACCAACCTGGGCTGCATAGTGAGACGCTGTCTCAAACAAAGAACAAAAGAAAAAGAAAAACAAAAAGAACGGTGAGTCCTCACTCTCCCTAACTCTGTCCTTTCCTCATTTTTTTGGCAGCACTGGAATTTGAATTCAAGGCCTCATATTTCGCTAAGGTGGCACTCTAAGCAGGCGTGTGCCACTGCTCCCAGCCATTGGTCGAAATGGGGTCTTGCAACCCTTTTGCCTGGGCTACCCTGGAACCATGACACTTCTGATCTCTGCTGAGTAGCTAAAACTCCAGGGTTGATCCACAGCACAATCTTTTATTGATTGATTGATTGATGGTACTAGAGTTTGAACTTGGGGCCTCACATTTGCTAGGCAGGGGGCTCCAGCCTGAGCCACTCCTCCAGGCAGTTTTAGTGTTGGGTATTTGGCTGACGGCAAAGTGTGATCCTCCTGATCTCTGCCTCCCAAGTAGCTAGGATTACAGGCATGAACCACAAGCACTCAGCTTCCTCATTTCTTTTCCACACGTATTTTCCTTTCACCTTTTAGCTTGTCACCTGGTAAAAACAACAGGACTTGAGGCAACTGTTTTTATATTGTGGCTGTGTCCTCCCTCCCCAAAATCGTACATTCCCACTGAGGACCCTCTTTTTCCCTCCAAAATGGTCCCAGGTTCCAGTCACATGAATCCTCCAGGGACTCAAAATCCCACCTTGGGAAACTTGGCAGGCACTGAGTACTGGGACCCCACATAAGGTCCTGTCTGCAAGAGGCCTCCCTTTTCGGCGCTGAAGGCCCTGGGCACAGTCCTATTGACATCATTGAGCCCCTCCCCCTACCTCTACCCTCATATCTCAACTCTGCCTTCTGTTTTTGTAGACTCCATGCTCCCTTCCCCCACCTTTTGCTTTTTTCACCTCCTGGACTTTCATTCGAAGTTTTCCAGGAAAGCAGAGCTCTTGGCTTCCTTCCTGATCCATCTGCCCCACCCCACCCCCAGCCTCTCAGCCCAGTCTGCAGGGCAGCTGTGGGCACAAATTCGCTCATCCAGAGCTGGAGCCTTTATGGGCTCCTCTGCTGAGGGGTAATGTCCCAGGATAGGTGGATTATTACAGGGACAGCCTGGCTGTGGGTGAGATCCTGGTGTGCCTCCCCCATTAGTGGGCAGCTGCTGAGAGCCTGCCTTCTGGTTCTCAGCCCTGAGAGCAAGGGGGAAGGGACCTGAGGATAAGGAATTCCAGGACAGGGCTGATAACAGATAAGTCCAGAAGGATATCTCCTGGGAGGACCTCCCGGACCATTTGAGCAGTCTCAGAGGACACCAGCCAGTATTATAAATTCCTACTTCTTCTACTCTGAAAAGGGTCTCGGAGATAAGCAAGTTCAGCCCCCTACATCTTACAGTCGAGCAAAACTGAGGCCAGAGAGGAACTAGAAGGACAGTGCCTTGCTAAAAGTCACACAGCTAAGTAGGGTCAGTGTGGGATTAGCTAGCAGGGGTCTTAGCATGTCTGTCAGGCAAGGGCCTCACTGATCGCCAGCCTGGACTTAGAACTGATTGGACACAAGAATTACTTTTATAAAAACCCAATTTTTTTATTCCCAAGCAAGACCAAGCCCTTTTGAGCTGGGAATGTTCCAGGCTGTGTAAGGAGAGTGAAAGGGTCTTTTGCCACAGATGTCACAGTACTGGCGGGGTTCTTGTGCTGGGAGTTTGGTGTAGACTTGGTGGGAGAGGTGGGGAGATGGGTGCAGAGGCCCTGCACTGCCCCTCTGCAAAGATCACCCTGTGGCCTCAGGTCTGGACTGGGACTCTGGTGCTGTAGCCACCAGGATCCAGTTAGGGCAGCTGGGGGACAAAGTGTGGTGAGCACCACAGCACACACAGCCCAAGGGCGGTAAAAAGATGCTGGCTGGAGGGGCGGGCCTAGTCTGCTCCCCACCCCCTTCGTCCACCCTGTTTCCCCCATATGGTTCTCATAAGGTCTGGGCTCAGAGACAGCAGCCAGAGGAAGTGGCTGTGTACAGAGAGCTTTTGTGAGCAGAGGAGGGGGAGGGGGAGAGCGAAGAGAAAGAAGGAAAGAGGGAAGAGGCAGAGGTGAGGGATGGTAGGAGACTCCAGTTGCACCCCCTTACCCTCCAGGGTGCCGCTCTCAGCAGCCACACCACGGTGGGCTTCTGGGCCCCCTGCCCCTGCCTGTCTGAAGAGAGAGGCCCAGAAGGATCCAAGGCCTCCCTCCCTGACTCTCCCCCTACATCTCCTTGATGGGCTGGAGGTGCCCAGACTCCAGCAGTTCTGGCTGCCCCTTCTCCGGGGCTTTGGGAACCCCTACCCTGGGGCGCCCTCTGGTGCAGGGTGTTGGGTACGTGGCCCAATCTTGGGGAGAACATTGGTCTCTGGTTTGCTGGTCCAGTCTCTGCTGCACCCAAAAAGTAGGAGAGGCCATTGTGTTGAGCCCCACATATATTCGGTCTCCAAGAAGCCACGAGCCAGAGTGGCTTATTTGGCCTGAGTTAATCAGGATATGTCCTTGAACCCAAAGGAAGTCCCTTCCTGCCAGCCCCTGTGGGTCATCCTTCTAGTGACTGGGGAGAGGGAGTGGCAACCCTATTCTAGGGGTAACTCTGAGAATTTCCCCCAAAGGCACAGCGAAATTGGTGTAATTTGAACCCAGCCGTAGATTGACCCTTAAATTTGGGGTCATGTTTTTAAAGA